GTCGCCACCTGTATTTACTAGGGTCTGTCTTTCTCCCCCCTCTTAAAACCCCACACATCCCCCTCCTTCTCCCCCTTCCATCATGTATACGTGTGCGTGCATGTATGTAGGTAAGGTATATTTAGGTGTGTTTCCTTCCCTCCTCATAACCCCCCCCTCCTCATAACCCCCCTCACCTCCCTCTCTCCCATCAACTCTTCGTCTGTTTGTTTTTCCCTCCCCCATTGCTACCCACCCTCTTCCTTCTCACTACACCTACTTTAAGCCCACTACTCTCTCTCTCTCTCTCTCTCTCTCTCTCTCTCTCTCTCTCTCTCTCGAATTCCTACTACCACCATTACCCTTCTCACTACCACCATCTCACCCCAGTACCTGCACCAGGGATACCACCATTTGCATCATATCTCCTCTCTCATCACCTTATCCTCTCTTCCCTTATACTTACTCCTTCCACATCCTTATATGCTTTGTCTATATTCTTTACCTTTACTATTAACCCCTAATATTCAGCTATTGTGCTATTACTATTATTCTCACTACTGCTATTACTACTACACCTACTATTACTATTATTCTGACTTCTGTACTACTATTACTATTATTCTCACTACTGATTTGGCTACTACAACTACTATTACTATTATTCTGGCGTCTTCTACAACTACTACTACTTCGACACTATCACAATTGTCACAGTAGCTACCACTAGTATCACCACTTTCACCACAGCTGTCACTATCGCCTTGAGTCACCACACCACCGTTGTTATTGCACGAGCTCTCACTATCACCATTGTCAATACTATTGTCAATGTTGCCTTTATTATCATCACTGTGGGGGGCCTCTGGCTCTTCAAAAACACAATCTCTGGTAACTGGACGAAAGAGAGCTGTACGGAGGTGTGGAACAACTTACCCCCACCCATCCAAGCAAAGACTACGCTCCCTTCATTTAAATCATCTCTTAAAAAATATCTATTGTCTAAGTATTAATATTTCTTGTACCATCAAAACCGTTTTATCGGAAATTATCATGTAAATAGATAAGTAATTACCATTGCAATAAACATAATTGCCAACTAGACATAATCCTGACAGCTCTGTCCTCTTGTTCAACCTTATTACTGTACAACCCAGGTTGTACTGCTCCCCCATTATACTTATGTTTTTCAATTCCACTGTAATTTATGTATATATAAATAGAAAAATAAAAAAATAATAAATAAATAAAATTAATAAATATTGAAGTGATAACCGTGGTAACATGAGATGTTCTTTATTACCACCATGCTATTGTACTATTCCAGATGATACTAAATGGTTACATAATACTTCCTTGAGATAAATGTACAGTATATATCAGGTGCCTACAAGAGAGCTCAGGTTCTCATGGCTCAGCCATGTTAATATTGTTATTATTATCCACTCTGTATCTGTGTTTTTCTGGCTAAATAAACTGTTTCAATTCAATTCCCCATTGTCATCACCACTTACGTTCAGCACAACTTTCATCATTGTCACCACTACCAACACCACTGTCACCTTTATCAACACCACTATCACCTTTACCAACACCACTGTCACCACTACCAACACCACTGTCACCACTACCAACACCACTGTCACCACTACCAACACCACTGTCACCACTACCAACACCACTGTCACCACTACCAACACCACTGTCACCACTACCAACACCACTGTCACCACTACCAACACCACTGTCACCACTACCAACACCACTGTCACCACTACCAACACCACTGTCACCACTACCAACACCACTGTCACCTTTACCAACGTCACATGTACCACTACTGTCACTAACACCAGTACTATCGTCATCACCACTGCCTCCACTGTCACCATTACTACTACCACCACCACTATTACCACTACCACCACCACTATTACAAACTACCACCTCCACTGTCACCATTACTACTACCACTACCACCTCCACTGTCACCACCACCACCACCAGTCTCATCACTATCACCACCATCACCACCACCACAGGTAGCAAGCGTCGCCCCCTACCAACACCAAATTTGTCAGTGTGTGTGTGTGTGTGTGTGTGTGTGTGTGTGTGTGTGTGTGTGTGTGTGTGTGTGTGTGTGTGTGTGTGTGTGTGTGTGTGTGTGTGTGTGTGTGTGTGTGAAATTTTTGTACCGTCCTTGGCTTTCTCTCAATGGATGAACGGATGTGGCGGCCAGTGGGAGGGAGGATCAAGGGAGAGGACGAAGGTAGGGAAAAGGAGGAAGACCAAAGTGGACCGAGAGGTGAGGGAGAGAGGGGAGTAAGGGAGTCTAAGGGTGGGAGTAAGATGAGGGAGGAATGGAGGGTCAAGGAATACAGGAGGGAGGGAGGTCAGGGTGATAGGGGGTTAGGGAGGAAACACCCAGGGATAAAGGAGGGAGGGAAGACTGGATGGAGAGTGTTGGGGAGGAAAGACCAGGGGGGATAAAGGAGGGAGGGGGAAGGATAATGGAGGGAGGAGGTGTGGGATAAAGGAGGGGTAGCGGGTGGGATAAAGGAGGGGGAGCGGGTAGGGTAAAGGTGGGAGGGAGGGGCCTGGGAAGGTGTACTGGGTGTTGCCAGCATGAGGGTGGCGGGACTGGACGCAGGCAGGGAGGCGAGGCAGCTTCATGTTGACGCGCCTGCTTTAACAATTTAGCCGGTGTTTATTTTGGGTTATTATGAGCTGGTGAGGCATTAAGACAGACACGGCTTCCTTAGTTTATGTTTTAGGGAGCACGTGAACCTCGCTACTCTACTGCCAGGGAAGATTCTCGGTACAGGACCCTCAATGTCAGGTCTTGATTTTTCCAACCCACGTTAAAAGGCACAAACGTGTGATCATTGAAAGTAGATTGATATTATACAGTTTTTAGTTGTGTATAGTCTACACTGTATACACGTTTCCTGATCTGACTGATGGATGTTTTAACCGGATGTGTAATTTTTAAATGCCAGGTTAACGATGCCAGTGTCCACGTTTAGTCAACAATGTCGACTCCTAATGTTGGGGTTGAATTTCCTTGAACGACAGTTGCAAAATACCACAACATTTCAGTCAATGTACACGAAAAAAATGTTTCGCAGCGGGCCAAGTGGAAGGTGGACAGTGGGCGAGCCTTTGGTGTCCGTATATCCGTGTTTCCGTCCCTGGCATTCACACTGCCTTTGTCCGTGACGTTCACATTCCCGGAGTTGCTCCCTGTTATGTTTTTGCCAGCGGGCGGGCGGCCTCCACACTGCCACCAACGCGTTTCACTTGTACCTTTTTTAACATTTGTATTTGGGAAAAAAAGTGGGATAAATAAGACGGGTACTCTGCAGGGTGAGTTACGCTGCAGAGGACCAACACAATACAGTGCATATTAAATTATTGAGGAATTTTGTTTAGTTATAAAAAAAGGACAATTTTAAGGGATCATATCAGTGGTGTTCAGCGATAGGCATGATACTGTTTTGGAACCTTTGTGTGTGTGTGTGTGTTTTGTGTTTTTTGTGTGTGCGTGTGTTAACTTTGACGTGGACACCAGCTAGTTTATTGTGCAAGCCCTCTTCATCCTGTGAGCGGTAGCGCAAAAAGGATTACAAAGTAGGGGCTACAAAGGGTGTTTATGGGACCCCAGTGTTGTGTTACAGACTATTTCCAGTACAGTGTTTGTCGGTACATAGAATTTTGATTATGTGTGTGTGTGTGTGTGTGTGTGTGTAAAGAGGATATCCTGGAATCAGTTTCCGACATGAACAGCGGTGAGAGACTAGCAGTACTTTACAACATGTTTCACAGTGACAGTACACGCACACACACACATCACCACGGCCTCATCTGCAAATTTGGTAAGAAGCTTCTACACCATCCCCGACACCGGCCCCTACTACCACCTGAGATCCCCTGTCCGAGAATTGCTGTTCGACACCACAACCGCATCCAGCCCATACGTGCACGAACTGATCGCTATAAGAACAGCCCAGTCCCAACCATTGTAAAATTATCAATAACATGTAATAAATCAGTGTATTCACTCCCAGTAAACACTGCTCCCTACACTGTCACTATGTTGAAATGAACTGTATTTTGAGCTGATCCCCATCTAAGTTACTATATGTCTTATTTGTGTCACTTATGTCACTTGTATATTATTTGTAATTCGTAACCCATTCCCCAAATATGTAACTGTATATTTTCAGCCTTCTGGCTGCCAAGCTCTTTCAATAAACCGTTAATTATTATTATTATTATTATTACACGCACACACACACACACACACAAACACACTCACTCACACACACACACACTCCAACCTGCAGAGATATTTTACATGGGGAGTAATATTAGGACGCCCCGCAGCGCCCCACGACACAGGGAGTAGTGTCACGTGCGGTAACCTCCAGAATGGGGTCATAAAGGCGGCGCCAGAATAACAACACAAGTCTCTGCCAGGCGACTCACCTCCAGAATGGGGTCATAAAGGCGGCGCCAGAATAACAACACAAGTCTCTGCCAGGCGACTCACCAGCACACGACAACACACACACACGGCACACATGTGGCAAAAATTATCTCACCTACTTAGTATTAACTTATCAGGCCACTTAACATAACCCTGACCAACCTACTTAAATATCTACCTGCTTACGTCATCATGATGGTCAGGTTAGCTTTTGGTTGAGATGAAGTTGAGATACATAACACACACACACACACACACACACACACTCACACACTCACTCTCACTATGGTTATTCTGGCTCTAGGGATCTGTCTGTATGTTATAATAGTTGTAGTGTTGTAAATATATACTTCTAGGGGACAAATAACATGGTAGTAGGTGTGTGGTATTGGGTGAGAGCAGCTGTGAGGGAGAGTTGATGAGATACCCTGGTTGGTGGCCCAGCTGGTGAACTCCCAGGAGGGTACGTGTCTGTTGCTGGTCGCTCTCTTATACCCATGCCCACACCTCCACATCTAGAGTGTGTGTTGAGATGCGTCCATACCCAGAGAGTGTTGAGGTGTGTCCATACCCAGAGAGTGTTGAGGTGCGTCCATACCCAGAGAGAGTTGAGGTGAGTCCATGCCTAGAAAGTGTTGAGATGCGTCCATACCCAGAGAGTGTTGAGGTGTGTCCATACCCAGAGAGTGTTGAGGTGCGTCCATACCCAGAGAGTGTTGAGGTGCGTCCATACCCAGAGAGAGTTGAGGTGTGCCCATACCCAGAGAGTGTTGAGGTGCGTCCATGCCTAGAAGTGTTGAGATACGTCCATACCCAGAGAGAGTTGAGGTGTGCCCATACCCAGAGAGTGTTGAGGTGCGTCCATACCCAGAGAGTGTTGAGGTGTGTCCATGCCTAGAAAGTGTTGAGGTGCGTCCATGCCTACACCCATACCCAAAGTGTGCGTTGAGGTGCGTCCTTCCCGTCCCCCACTATCTCCACACCTCTAGTATACGAGTACTTCTAGCTTCCTCCTCTCCCAGAGTACTACACTACACTACACTAACAGATAAGGAAGTGGTTATCGGTCTGTACTGAGACTTTCAAGACTGTGGTGTACTTTGTCGCGGTCAGAGATGGCTACTCGCTTATTGTAACGTGATCTGGAGACAGTATTGATATGCTATAGACACCCTGGGACTTAGTTCCTTGAATACGATGACATTTTCATTTCAGCCATCAAGTCATCATGCTCAAGGTGTTTAGTCATCGTAACTCAAGGGGGTTAACTCGTTGTACTCTTGTTTTGTCATTGTACTCAAGGGGTTGTCATGTCATCGTACTCAGAGGGGTTAAATGCACTATTCAGATGAGCTATAGACTACACACACACACACACACACACACAGCAAATCGATAGACACTACATCATTGAGTAGTTGAGATACCGTGTGTATAGTCAACTTTTAAGCTTATTACCTGTAAATATGAGATTCATTATTTGAGTCTGATGAAGGTCTTGTAGAGAACTTGTAAGGTCTTGTGAAGAATCCTGACCTTGTAGAAATAACAGACTGGTGTGTAGAGAAAGATAAGGAGATGAAAAAAGATTAGAGGTGGGGACAAGTTTAGGAGGTAGAGGTAGTAGTTGTGTGTGGAGTGAGATGCACAGGGTAGGGGGTGGGGGGAGCCGCGTGAAATCGACACCAGGTAAATATTCAGAATCCCCAAATACGGTGGTGTTGGTTCTTGTCTTCTCGGAGGCCAAGGAGAGTCTCAAGATTTCCCCAGGATTTCCTATTTTAAACTCGTGTCTTTGGATGGAAAGTTGACCCAGAAGAGAATTTGATGCATGGGTGTTGGAAACTGGGCCCGAGCTTACTAAAGTTTCCACCAGTTAAATTTTCCTCGTAAGTGGAAATTTATGAACGAGTGATGCATTTTATCTTGTGTTTTATATATATACTTTCAATGTTTAACTTCAGATTAGTGGGTTCAGAGTTAGCATGATATTGTTTTAGCGGCTTTGTTTATGTGCAGGAAACGTTAATGGTGTGTTTGTGGGTCAGAACTCTGTTTTAGGCCAATTTTGGACCTCTTAAGGTGGTCACTAAAAAACTAGTGGTCACCCAACACGTTCAAGGTTGACATGACACTGATTTTTGGGCCCGTAAACACGGTATAAATGTCTCTTGTGCGCATACAAACACACACACACACACACACTAAAAAAGAAACCCAACCCTGAACCCCTGTACTTGTCCGTTTACTTAAAGAATCTCACTTAATCCAAACAGAATTGCCTCGTGTCAGTTCCAGCTCCTTACATTATAAGTTTCACCCCTAAACTGGTATTAGAGAATGCATCTGATAACTAAAGTCAAGCTGTGAGTTTCGACCCTTCTGACACACACACAACACACTCCACACCCAATAATTCAATAATCATTAATACTCCACACCATGGCCCATCCCACACCACACACCCACTCCACCCCACACCACACACCCACTCCACTCCACACACACTCCACCCACCCACACCACACCCACCCACCCACACCACACCCACAATTCAATTACCCACACCCACCACCTGCCACCACAATCTGCTCCACCCACACACACACTGAAAGATGAGAGATTAAATAAACACCCTCTCTAATCTTACACTTACAGGGGGGGAGGGGGGGATTAACTTACGAATTATTGAGGATCCAGGTATAAATTTCTCTTGAGTTATTGGACATAAATATTACAACTTACTGTACATGAGTGAAAGTGAAGAGATGTAAACAAGTGAAGAGTGAGTATATCTTTATTCATGTGTTTGGTCACTCTATTGTGAAGCAGGGAAGAGCATAACCCCTTGAGTTAGATAATTTTAACCGATTTAAGTTTAGTTCCCTGAGTACAGATCTATCGTACTCAAGGGATTAACAATGTCTTACTGGACTACTTCATTGTACTCAAGGGGTTAACAATGTCTTACTGGGCTACTTCATTGTACTCAAGGGGTTAACAATGTCTTACTGGGCTACTTCATTGTACTCAAGGGGTTAACAATGTCTTACTGGGCTACTTCATTGTACTCAAGGGGTTAACAATGTCTTACTGGGCTACTTCATTGTACTCAAGGGGTTAACAATGTCTTACTGGGCTACTTCATTGTACTCAAGAGGTTAACAATGTCTTACTGGGCTACTTCATTGTAGTCAAGGGGTTAACAATGTCTTACTGGGCTACTTCATTGTACTCAAGGGGTTAACAATGTCTTACTGGGCTACTTCATTGTACTCAAGGGGTTAACAATGTCTTACTGGGCTACGTCAATTGTACTCAAGGAACTTAGTCATCGTACTCTTGGGGTTGACGTTGAGAAAAAAAAACGCGAATTCTTTTAGCAATCAATAAGTACACGGGGGAAGAAGTCATTATTTAAGAAGGGATGATGATGATGTCATTTTTTCAAGGTAGAGCGAGAGGAAGTTGGATGGAGGTGTTGACGTCATCAGGTTTGTTTAGCGCGGTGCATTGTGGGTCGAGTGAGGATATACACATTTAAAGATGGCCGATAATTATAATTGATTGTGAGGAGAGTAAAGGTGTTTCTTTATGGTCTCAGTCGAAAATGTTTTATATTTCATTCACCCAACACACCACCACATTGCCACTCACCAACACTCCTCCACAATGGCACTCACCAACACTCCTCCACAATGGCACTCACCAACACTCCTCCACAGTGGCACTCACCAACACTCCTCTCCACAATGGCACTCACCAACACCTAACAATTCACAATGGCACCTTGCTACACTCCTCCACAATGGCACTCACCAACATTCCTCCACAATGGCACTCACCAACCCTCCACCACAATGGCACTCACCAACACTCCACCACAATGGCACTCACCAACCCTCCACCACAATGGCACTCACCAACACTCCTCCACAATGGCACTCACCAACATTCCACTATCATGACGACCTCTTCCTATCACGTGATCCTGTAATGCACTGCGTCTTGTGTTTGTTTACCTGCGTGACGTCATAGTGGAGTGGAGGCTATTGAAGGGAGGAGGAGGAGAGGTAGAAGACTTTTAAGAGGTGGATGGATGAGTCACAGAGAGAGAGAGAGAGAGAGAGAGAGAGGTCATGTGATTGTGTGTTTTATTTTTATTATTTATTATTATTATTATTATTATTATTATTACTACTACTACTGTTATTATTTTCATATGTTGTAGTTATTATATAAATTATAATTACGGTATTACGACTACTACTATTGTTATTATTGTTATTTGTATATTTTTTCATTGTTATTATTATTATTATTATTATTATTATTATAGGAAGATAGACAAGTAAGTTCAACTACTGTAGAGGACAAGAATTGGGGAGGAAGGTTGAAAATTAAATGGAGTGAGATGCGTCTCACGAAGTAACTTGGGTAAAGTGAAGAGTGACGAGGCTATTCAAGCAACTCTCTCTCTCTCTCTCTCTCTCTCTCTCTCTGCATGCATTTGTACAGTTAACTAATTCTCTCTTTCTTTCTTTCTCTTTACAGGTAAGAATGACACTGGGGCGGTTTGAAAGGCGGATTCCTGGAGGTTCGTAAGTTAAATTAAGTGATGACTACTACTACTACTACTCTTTCTCCGTCTCTAAACCACCCAGTCATGTCGCAAGCCAGTATACCACTAAGCCAGGAGACTATAAACAATGAGGTGGCTTATTGGGTGGTGGTGGTGGAGGTGAATCATTATCTACCGTGGGAATGGCTGGGGGGGTCCTTATGGGTGAGTGGTGGATGAACCGGTTGAGTTGGATGGGTTGAGAATAAGTAGTTGTGGTGTGTTGGTGATCGGGGAGAGACTGATTGGTGGTTGATGATGGTAGTGGTAGTTTTGGTGGTTGGTGGTGGTGGTGGTAGTTTTGGTGGTTGACGGTGGTGGTTCTTGAAGGGATACTATTGGCCAGTTGATGTGAGTGGTGGTAATGGTAGTAGTGATACCAAGTGGTGTGGACGGTGAGGTTGTCAAGTGTCATGGAAGCTGGGGAGGTTAGGAAGAGGGAGGGTCCTGGCTGGGGAGGTTAGGAAGAGGGAGGGCCCTGGCTGGGGAGGTTAGGAAGAGGGAGGGCCCTGGCTGGGGAGGTTAGGAAGAGGGAGGGTCCTGGCTGGGGAGGTTAGGGAAGAGGGAGGTCCTGGCTGGGGAGGTTAGGAAGGGGAACGTTGTGGCCGGGTTGGGATGGAGGGGAAGGACAGAGGGGTTCAGGGGCTGTACTGGGGAGGGAGAGAAGGACTGAGGGGCCTAGCTTGGAGGCTGGGAGGAGAGAAGGACGGAGGGGCCTAGCTGGGAGGCTGCTGGGAGGGGAGAGAGCGATTTGAGGGGCCTAGCTGGGAGGCTGGGGAGGAGAGAAGGATGGAGGCCCAGGCTGGTGACGCTGGGGAGGAGAGAAGGACGGAGGGGTCTAGGCTGGGGAGGGAGAGAAGGACGGAGGCCTAGCTGGGAGGGGCTGGGGAGGAGAGAAGGACGGAGGGGTCTACCTGTGACGCTGGGGAGGGAGAGAAGGACGGAGGGCCTAGCTGGGAGGTTGGGGGGAGGGGAGAGAGAAGGACCGAGGGGTCTAGCTGTGACGCTGGGGAGGAGAGAAGGACGGAGGGGCCTAGCTGTGAGGCTGGGGAGGAGAGAAGGACGGAGGGTCTAGCTGGGGAGGGAAAGAAGGCCAGAGGGCCAAGTTGGGGAGGCTGGGGAGGAGAGAAGGACGGAGGGGCTTCAGCGGGGAAGCTGGGGAGGGAGAGAAGGACGAAGGGGTCTAGCGGAGGGAGAGAAGGGCGGAGGCCTAGCTGGGAGGCTGGGGGAGGGA